GTGCGGCTGACTCCGATTGGCCACAAATACAGAATGCCAACACATAAGTGACACGCTGGTCCTAGTGGAGGTGCGTGGCTGTCATCCAAACCTCGCTAAAAGCTACACTATGCTTCTCATAGAGCCCGTTACAACCCAAATTCATTTTGCATTTTACATAATACACGGGCGTTATATTTTTCCAGCCTACTCTTAACACCCATGCGTTTTTTTAATGAGATTTTGACAATATCCTAGGGTGTTATATACGGGGGAATACGGTACAACTGCTATACTAACTCCATACGTGCTACAGTCCAAGAGCCAGTTAAATATTCAATTATGTTCCATCCTATTGCATACCCTATCCTTTCTTGTGGTGTCATACAAGAGTAGCACCATGGACGAGAATTGGTTGAAGTATCACAATCATTAAATAATGTAACATCTGAGCAATGATACAGTGCAGAGGAACGTACACATTTCCATTTTCCTTACAACCAACTCGACCTCTCATGATAAACAATTATGTACATAAGTCGGCTTAGACACGAAGCCGTGAATTTCTATACGCGATTTAACGGATTTTTTGTGCATGCAACTATTTGGCTAAACCTACCCTTCGAACCACTAAGCGGTTTAGATATGAAAGAGGTATTGTATTGTCTGTACTGAAATGGAATCGATGCGCGTAATGCCGTTGCCTTACCCAACCCTTCGTTGGAAAACTCCAGTAACTGCTCGCAGATGCCCGGCTGTCTACATTTTCGCAAAAACTGAAACCTACACGCGACTACAGCCACGACTCTTTCGGCGCGCAATTTGAAAAAGGGCCTACCGATAAATTGCAAACATGTACAGTCGAGAAGTTGACAGCCAGCAATTTGCCAGCGGCCCCCCCTAAAGGTGCGATGATGATGTACGCTGCATTGAAAATGGTGAGAGTGGCAGGTGTCGAGCCACATCATAATGGTGAGGAATGCTGCCGGTACTGATGGACGAGTTGGGCTGCTTCCTTGGATGCTGGTGTTGTAGCAGTGCGTAGCTTCCAGGTCAGCAGCATTAATTATGGCCAATACAAAGAACCCCAGCCAGGCGGCATAGGGGGCAACAAGATAGGCAAGGCCGCAAGGTATTTGTGCTCCTAGCATGGAGTGGGGACTCGAGCTACCCAACCGGTATGCTCAGAGGTGGGATATGGGACCACTACATCTCACATCCACAACGCACCAGCGTTGGCCTTGGGCTAAGGCAAGAAGAATAGGAATACCCGGTTTTCCTTGGAATTTCACACTTGCACCTTGGGGAGAAGCTCCTATGGCAGCAAGGACTGGTATGGTACATCAGAAAGAAAATGATTGAACTAGAATGTGTGTGTACAAGGATATATAGACTAGGGTGTTGTACCCTGTAAGGCACAATCCAGTATAGTCTACAGCAACAACCTAAATTACGTTTGACACACCCCCTAGACTATATAGGGGCAGTGCCTAACAAGGGAAGAAGCAGCTCAGGGCGGCACTACAAGTCCAGCCTCTGAGACAAGGGTCTAAAGACCAGTCAAAAGGAGTACAGACAAGGCAACAGCAAGCCCAGGGCGGCACTACTAGTCCAGCCACTGGGAGAGGCCACAAGGCCAGTCTGGGTAAAATATATATATTAAGGACAGTACAAAGTCAAGGCCCTAGCAAGTGAGAGGCTACAGGAACGAGACCCAGCTGTACACAGTGTCGCTGATGATCTTTAGGCGCAAGTGCCTTTGTAAAGATATCAGCTGTGTTGGCACCGGAGGCCAAGTGTACTACGCGCGCCTGGCGACGCTGCTGCAGCTCACGCAGGAGGAAGTACCGCAGCTGAATGTGCTTCGCTCTGCCCTCGAGTCGAGGCTCCTGACACAGGAGGATCATGGCCCTGTTGTCAGCGTATAGGACCGGGGCACAGCTAGGCTGCTCACCTAAGTCAGTGAGCAAGAAGGTCAGCCAGCGGAGCTCCTGTGCCGCCATGGCACCGGCGTAGATCTCGGCCTCACAGCTGGACTGGGCAACAGACGAGGAGCGGGTAGCTCTCCACGAGACGGCACCAAAACCAAGGCTGAAGCAGTAGCCCTGTGAGGACCTAAGGGTCTCAGAGTCGTCTGCCCAAGAAGCGTCTGTGTGTCCAGTAAGGACCACTGGCCTATGTCCTCCTAGCACTAACCCCATGCCCGATGTACTTGCAAGATAACGCAAAACCCTCTTAGCGGCAGACTAGTGCTGAGGTCGGTGTCTGCCTGTAGCCACAAAGCGAGCCAGGATGCTGAGAGGGTATGCGAGATCTGGGCGAGTGCAAGTCATCAGGTACATGAGGCAACCCACCAGCTCTGCGTAAGGACCACTGGGCTCTGCTGACTCCTCAGGAACTGGAGCGAAGAGCCTCCTCAGCGTCAAAGCAAAGCACCGCCGCCATGAGTGACAATAGAGGGCAGTGTAGAGTAGGACAGTGTAGTGCAGTGCGGTGTAGTGCGGTGCAGTGCGGTACAGTGCGGTATAGTGCGGTGCAGTGCGATACAAAGCGGTGCAGTGCGGTAGAGTGCGGTACAGTGCCGTGCAATGCGGTACAAAGCGGTGCAGTGCGGTGCAAAGCAATGTTGTACGGTACCGGGGGGGGGTTCGGAGGGCGGTGCTGATCGGGAAGAACAGGCCGAACCCGAGGCAGCGGCGGGCCGGCGACGGCGCAAATGCAGGGGTCGGCCGGCGGGCGGCATGTAGACACGGCCGCGACGGCGGCCAGGAACAGCCGCAACGGCGGCCAGGGACAGCCGCGACGACAGCCAGGGGCAGCCACGACGGCGGCCAGGGACAGCCGCGACGGCGGCCAGGGACAGCCGCGACGGCGGTGAGGGGCGGCCGCGACGGCAGGAGCGACCGTGAGGCGGCTGGAGATGGCAGCGGCGGCGGCTAGGGGCAGCCACGACGACAAGGGGCGGCCGGGACGACTAGGGGCGGCCGAGGGACGGTAGGAAGCGGCCGCGACGGCGGCTAGAAGCAGCCGCGACGGCTAGGGGCGGGCTCAAACGGCCAAGGGGCCTGCGAGGAGCGGGCGCGAAATGGCCAGGGCGCCGGCTAGGAGGGGCTCAACGGCCAGGAGGCCGGCTAGGGACGAGCGCGAACGGCCAGGGGGCCGGCTAGGGACGGGCGCGAACGGCCAGGGGGCCGGCTAGGGGCGAGCTCGACGGTCAGGGGGGCCGGCTAGGAGCGATCGCGACGGCCAGGGGGCCGGCTAGGGGCGAGCGCGACGGTCAGGGGCCGGCTAGGAGCGATCGCGACGGCCAGGGGGCCGGCTAGGGGCGAGCGCGACGGTCAGGGGGGCCGGCTAGGAGCGATCGCGACGGCCAGGGGGCCGGCTAGGGGCGAGCGCGACGGTCAGGGGCCGGCTAGGAGCGATCGCGACGGTCAGGGGGCCGGCTAGGAGCGGGCGCAACGGCCAGGGAGCCAGCTATAGACGGGCGCGATGGCCAGGGAGCCGGCTAGGGACGAGCGTGACGGCCAGGGGCCGGCTAGGGACAGGCGCGAATGACCAGGGGGGCGGCTAGGGACGAGCGCGAACGGCCAGGGGGCCGGCTAGGGACGGGCGCGAACGGCCAGGTGGGCCGGCTAGGGACGAGCGCGATGGCCAGGGGGCCGGCTAGGAACGTAGGGGCGAAAGCGTGAGCGGGCTAGGGGGGGATCTAACCTACTATGATACCATATCAGAAAGAAAATGATTGAACTAGAATGTGTGTGTACAAGGATATATAGACTAGGGTGTTGCACCCTCTAAGGCACAATCCAGTATAGTCTACAGTAACAACCTAAGTTACATTTGACATGGTAGTCCCTCCCTTTCAAATCAACCGGGATCCCGGTACAGATGTAACACGCTTAGTGGATGACCCAAATTTGCCTGTGCATTCCAAAATCAAACTCCAAAGACAAGTACATGTTCATGGCCATTCCATAAAAAAATATTCCCAACACATTGTTCAACGTATTCCAAGCAGGCCCCCTAGGGTCATTCCCCAGCGGATTCCTTGGCCCCACGTCAGAGTAACCTTGTGTCTGATTCATCTTTTTCCCAAGCCACTGCTCAGACTTGCACCCCTCGCGTCAGACGTGCACGCACATGTCCAGCATCTTGAAGGTGTTCTGCACCACGTGCGCGGCAGTGACTCACAAGTGACGTTTCACCCCAAAAAGCACCGCTCAAATGGCCGAATGGTCAAACATGTTGTCACCTACGATTTTGCACCAACCTAGTCGTGCATGTGTTCGCTAGAGTTTTCCAGTGGCGCAAAACGTTGCCTGGGGTTTCACTATCCAGCGAAATGCTTTGCTGTGGCTTCCAGCACTCAGCGGGATGGTCGCTGTGCCTTCCCGCACGTGTGGAATGTGTTTACGTTGTGGTTCCAACCTGGGCAGCTTGAACTGTCATATCAGCCACTATGGCGATCCCTCATAGGTGACAACATTCTGGTTTACCCGAGAGTGTCATGTGCTGGCTGCTGCCAAGCCTAGAAATGCCTAAGTGCCCAATGGGACCTTCCAGCGGTGACAACTTCAGCTGCCGCACGTGGTCGATGCCACGCGGGAAAATGCCCAAGTGTCCTATGGGCAGGAAGTTTGGCAGCACGTGCGGTCGGTGGGCGGTGCGTGTGAAAGCGCCCAGGAATCCAGGCCATGCGTATGAGAGTCTTTAGGGAGTACAAGGACTATCCGTGTGTATGCCCCCTATAGGAAAACCCACAGGGTGGTACTTCCATTTTTTGTACCCAAGACCATCAGAGAGACTTAAGAAAACAACACTGATTTTCAGAGGAACAGAGTGATTTACTCTGATAAAATAAGCCCGTGGCGATCCCTCATTGGTCATGATATTCAGGTTTATGTGCAAATGTACTCGCAGTGTGATACACGATTCGCACGCCTTGCAGAAGGTTTTGCGGCTTTGAATCGTAAGACGAATATGCCATTTTTGTTGCTGCTCTTCCGATGTATGTGTTGTCCACGTCATGTATTAACTCTTGCTCCTGTGTCGTGCAGTTTCCGACCGTGCGGATTTTCTTCTTCAAGAGTTGAAGAGTTGACACTAAATTGAAGCCAAGATTGTCGACGAGTAAAACGCTGGTAAGGCATAAAGACTTTCCTGTACCGGTTGATGTTAAAAGGAGACTGCCGATATTTTCAGCTGAAATTGTTTGACCGTTGGCGAGTGTGATTGGGCAGGGTTGAAGAAGTCGACGACGGTTGTAGATGAAATGATTTGTTGAAGAGACCATATGATGGCCACAACAACTATCCAAGTACCAAGTATCGGTATCTGTACTGCAATTGACCATGTGAGTGGATGAAGTAGGTAAACAAAAATTTGAAGTTATCGTTTTGTTGGCAGAGTTTGAATTATTTGCTGTCGGCTTTGATGAGTTGCTTGGAGGGACAGAACTGAGTGTCGTTGGTGGTGTTGATATTGCACATGCTGATTTTTCTGACGCGAGGCAGCCAATACAGGGCACCTCGCCAGGCCCCACAATTGGTTTTAGGGTACCCTGATTGCTCTGTGTCATGCTCATCAGCCTCCTGAAGAAGATTTATGCTGATTCATTATGTTGCATAGCCAAAGTTTGCTTTTCCATCAGGGTCGTGTATGGAAGAAACGCTGGTTTGACGAACAAGCTTTGAAAAAATTTCACATTTGTTTTAGCTGCATTCAAACCCTCCCGTGTCGCTGCAAGGTGCAGATTGAGTCTTACTCGAATGCAGTTAAAAAAATGCTCCCCGCAACCTAGTGATTTTTTTAAAGGGCTTGGATCAGTTTATGATTTGTTGCTGGCTACGTACTCCTTAATTGCAAGGGTACTGACGACGATGCCCTAGCATGAAAAAGAAATGTTTTTGCTTCTAGTTGTGGAGAGACATAACAATTATTTTCTAATAACATTCGTCCCTTTTAGGAGAAGTCTCGTCAGTTGCCCGATTGGTCAACTGAAAGTCTATCAAAATTCGACGGCCTCGATTGATTGCGATCGTTTTGACATGTTTTGACCGTTCGATGGTAGCAAATGATTGACGTCCGAGATCTCCCAAGCTAATGATTGACGTCCGAGATCTTCTTGTTCAAATGTTAGAATGACTAGAATGAGTGAGTACAAGGAAATCTAACCTAGTGTGTTGTACCCTCTAAGGCACAACCCTATATAGTCTACATTAACATACTAAGATATGTTTGACACATTCCCTAGACTATATAGGGGCAGTGCCTGACGAGAGAACAAGCAGCTCATGGTGGCACTACTAGTCCATGAGTACTGTGGCAAGAGTCTAAAGACCAGTTACACGAGTACAGACCAAGGCAAGAGCAAGACCAGGGCGGCACTACTAGTCCATCCACTGGGAGAGGCCACAAGGCCAGTCAGGGTAATATATATATAAAGGTATGTAGACAATCAAGGCCCTAGCGAATGCGAGGCTATAGGACCAAGACCAAGCTGTACACAGTGCCGCTGATGATCTTTAGGCGCAAGTGCCTTTATAAAGATATCAGCAGTATTGGCACCGGAGGCCAAGTGTACTACGCGTGCCTGGCGGCGCTGCTATAGCTCGCGCAGAAGGAAGTACCACAGCTGGATGTGCTTCTCTCTGCCCTCAAGTTGAGGCTCCTGACACACGAGGATCATGGCCCTGTTGTCAGCGTACAAGACCGGGGCAGAGCTAGGCCGCTCACCTAAGTCGGTGAGCAAGAAGGTCAGCCACCGGAGCTCAAGTGCGTAAATCTCAGCCTTACAGCTAGACTGGGCAACAGACGAGGAGCGGGTGGCTCTCCACGAGATGGCACCTAAACCAAGGCTAAAGTAGTAGCCCTGTGAGGACCTAAGGGTCTTAGCGTTGTCTGCCCAAGAAGTGTCTGTGTGCTTAGTAAGGACCACTGGCCTGCGTCCTCCTAGCACTAACCCCATGCCCGATGTACTTGCTAGATAACGCAAAACCCTCTTAGCAGCCAACCAGTGCTGTGGTCAGTGTCTGCCTGTGGCCACAAAGCGAGCCAGGATGCTGAAAGGGTATGCGAGATCTGGCCGAGTGCAAGTCATCAGGTTCATGAGGCAACCCACAAACTCTGCGTAAGGACCACTGGGCTCTACAGACTCCTTAGGAACAGGAGCTAAGAGCCTGTGGTCTACTGGCAGAGGTGTGGGCTGTGCAGAGGAGAACTGAAGACGGAACCTTTGAAGGACTTGGCGCACCAAGTGTGACTGTGAGAGAGTGATGGTGCATGCTGCTCTGTCTCTGGAGATCTGCAGGCCAAGGTAGTGGCGTAGTTCTCCTAGGTCAGTGCAGGTGTGTCTCTTCAGCAGCTCTGCCTTCACGGAGGATAGCGCGTCCCTGTCTGCAGTAGCAAAGACTAGGTCATCTACGTAAACAAGGATGTAGAACGGGGTCTGGCCAGCACGAACGAAGAGTGAGAGGTCGGCAGAGGACGGAGAGAACTGCAGGTCAGTTAGGGTAGCATGCAGTGTGTTGTGCCACTCACGGGGCGCCTGTCGCAGGCCGTAGACTGGGCAGCGTAGAAGCCACTGGGTCTTAGGAGGGAAGGTACCAGTAAAGCCCTGAGGGCGGCGCCGGTAGACCTGCTCGTGTAGGCTGCCGTGAAGAAAAGCGGTGGAGAAGTCGAGGGAGTGTAACTCGTAGTCACGCTGTGCTACTCCATGTAGCAGCGCCTGAAGAGTAGTCATCTTCGGGGTCGGTTCAAAGGTCTAACAGATGTCCACCCCCTCACGGTGACTGAAGCCTCTAGCCATGTAGCGCGCCTTGAACACAGGCGGCTCTCCAGGGGTGCACTTCACCTTGAAGAGCCACTGGCCATCGACTACATTCACCCCAGGTGGGGGAGCTGCGTCGACATAGCTGCCGGTGGATCTCCAAGATGCCATCTCCTGCTCCATTGCAGCTATCCATTGAGAGGCCCAGGGTCCCGAGGTAGCCTCAACGTAGGTGCGAGCGGTCGGGATGTCGACAGCGTTTGGGTCACCCTCAGGGACTAGAAGCATGGAGCAGAGATGGGGAGCAACCTCCTAGAGGAAAGCAAGCTCGTACTGCCGGTCCTCCAAGACGTCACTGCCGAGGGCAGAGCACCTCCGATGGATGGAGGACAAGCAGGGTCAGAGACCAGAGTGGTGGCGTAGTCAAGGCGGGGGGTAGAGGCAAAGTGAGCGACAGGAGCGATAAGAGCGTCATGACGAGAAATAGGAAAAGACTGGTCGGTAACGAGAGAGGCAGGGACCCGAGAAACAAGAGGACGAGCGGCAGGAAGGTAGTCAAACACAGGGGGAGCTGCAATAGCAAGTGAGGATGGAGGAGGCGACGGCAGGAGGGGAGGATGAGACGCGTGGGAACGAAACAACATAGGGTGAGAGTGCCGAACTGGAGAGACCGAACAAGCACGGTAGGGACGGCAAGACCAGACGTGAGACGGGGGCGTCTGATTAGTAGACAGAGGAGGGGACACAAGAGGGGAACAAGGGGGAAGACAAGTCGGAGACGAGTCCGGAGGAAGGAACATAGGGCCGTAGACAGGGAGGGGAGGAGACGGTAGGAGAGGCGCCGACGCGCGGTCATGGGAGGGAAGGCCGAGCTGGCAAAGGTCGGACACCAGCGGCGTCTGCTGCTGCTGCGACTACACGACGCCGACACCTGGACCGCTAGCAGCTCCACGGCTACCTCCGGAACACTCTCTCCAGCACCCTCGTAAGGAACACAAAAGCAGAAACTCTCTTAGCACCGGCACCACCCCCAGTCCCGCCGGGATAAGCCACGACAGGAACCCCAAAACTAGCACCCTCCTCAACGCCAGCACCCCCAGAGGGCACAAACTTCTGTTGCTGCGGCAACAAGGGCATCTCCTGCTGTGGCGGCTGCGACGACGGCTGCGGCTGCGACTGCAACGGTGGAGGAGGAGACATTGGGGAGAAGGCAGGCGGTGAGGACTGCGCCGTAGGGCCACTAGAGTCAGCAGACTCCTCAACAGGGACAAGTGACGAGGGAGGGGGGTGACGTGAGACACACCAGACGGGGCAGGGCGGGGAGGTGGGGAAGTAGGGGCGACCGGGGGAGGGGGGACCAGGAACAGAGGGGGAGTAACCGGGGGACCACGGTGGGGACAGCGGTGGTAGAAGGAGACGGACTCGTCAAAGGTGACTTCGTGAGAGTGAAAGAATCAGTGAGACAGTGGGTGGTAGAAGTGCCAGTCAGACGAGTCAAGGGGGAAACCTAGGTAGACACAGGGGATAGTGCGGGCAGTGAGCTTGTCCGTGCCAGAGGCACAAACGTGAGCAAGGCAGCCCAGACGTGGAACGCAGATGCGCCACCAGGAGACCCAGTCCAGAGGAGGGTCGGCGAAACCTGCGGCTGCTGAGGGTGCGGCCACAGGTTCAGCTGGTGAGAGGCGTAGCAGACGGCGAATGCCCACAGAAAATGGGGTGCACCGGCATGGATCATGGAGGTACGAGCCACCTCCATGACCAAACCGATGCGTCACTCAGCGACCCCATTCTGCTACGGGGAGTCTGGCAGTGTGAACGTCCGGGTGATGCCCTCCGCACGACAGAAAGAACCAAGGCAACCTGAGGCGAACTCGCCACCGCAGTCAAAGTGAAGACGCAACACAGGGAGACCTCGGTGCACACGCGCAGAGACAAGCCACGGGATAAGAACGCCAGGCACGTCGGCCTTCCGCTGCAGGGGAAACACAGTGGTGTAACGAGTGTAGTCGTCAACAAGGATGAGGAAGTCACGCTCACGACGCAGCCCATGGACGGGGGCAGGGCCCCAGACATCCATGTGCAAGCTCTGCAAGGGTGCAGTGGTGGGGGGGAACGAGGAGGAGTGAGGGGCATGGCGGAGCCGGCCCTCGACGCAGGGGGTACACGGTGGTGCAGGTGAGGAGGGGAGTGCGGGGAATGACTCAGGGAGGCCTAAAACAAAACCGTGCTGAGACATGTAACGAAGACGAGGGAGGGCAGGGTGACCTAGACGATGGTGAGTAAGTGACCGACACGAGCGAGCCGCAGCTATCTGGGGAGACACGGCCATCTGGGGAGACATCCCAACCGGGGGGGACGTGGTGTCCAGCGTGAACAGGCCAGAAACTGGGTCCCGGGGGAACGTGGTGAGGGGAGCACTAGTGGCAGCCTCGGTACAGACAGCGTACCGCTTGTGACTAGGGAACGTAGTGGTGACGCCAAGGTCCTGGATGAGACCTAACCTATTCATGATACCATGTTCGAATGTTAGAATGACTAGAATGATTGAGTACAAGGAAATATAACCTTGTGGGTTGTACCCTCTAAGGCACAACCCTATATAGTCTACAATAACCTACTAAGATATGTTTGACACTTCCAACCGGGGCGCTACAAGGGCGCGAAGTTTCTCCCGCTGCCCTATTCGCTAGCTTCCCCCCTCTCCCCCATTTCGACCCCCCCCATTTTCGATCCCCTCCTCCCCCTCCGATTCGCTCCCCCCCTCCCTTCCATTTCGATCATCCCCCTTCCCCTCCATTTTGCTTTCCCCCTCCCCTTGCTTTTGATTCCCTCCCCCTTTTCCCTTCAGTTTCCATTCCCTCTCCCCTCCTCTTCGATTCCCTCCCCTTCAGGATGTGTTCCTACACGACACAATGTCACGCTATTTTGTGTCACAATTATACTCACTGGCAAATTTGTCGGACAAAATCCTGAATGACGCAATGTAGCCTGACAACTTGTGACGTAAGAACATGCCCTGTTTTTTAGAGTTACCGTAATCATCCGGATAGACGCCCCTCCGCAGGACTAGTCCCATGGGCTCTAACTTATGCATTGGGACTTATAAGCATTAATCAATTATGGCCTCCCCTTCACTTCTCAAAACCTGTTTCCTATAAGCCCCCCCATAATTTATCTTGAAACACTTCACAAAAAGGCGAAGCGGATCCATGTAATATCGATGTTTCTTGCTTCGTGCCTGCCAGAAGCGGAACTCGCCCCCTCTGACACTTCGCGCCAGCACGGTTCGTGACAGAACAGCGAGTTTCTAGCCTGGCACCTTGCCGATTGGACTTCCAACGCAATCGACTCACGAATCCTCGCTAAAATTACTCCCGTTGCACAAGTCAGATCAGCAGCTATGTTTTAATGTCAAAAGTTAATTTTCCATATAATCCCTTTAAAACACCCATGGGCATATTTTTTTATTCAATTACCCCCCCCCCCCCCCCCCCCCCCCACGCTTTCAAACCAGTCTCGTAAACGCCCCTAGGGGCGTTTATCCGGGTGATTACTGCTGTAGTTTCACGTCGTCTGGGAAATCAGAAATAGAAATCACGCTAGCGAGAAATCACTAGGCTGCCTACCAACTGCTTCCTGTTCTCCCAGCAATTAAATCGTCACTGCTGGAGAAGATGCGGCAATTTGGGTTAAAAAACAAAAATATTCGACAGCTCAAGGGGACTATATTTCGAACGTCAGGCCTGGCCCTGATGTTTAGGAATGGTTTTCCCAGTCCCCCTTTTAGCAACTCCGTAAAATTAGGGTATAAGCAGGGTTGCGGGATGGGGGGGGGGGGGTTTGTGGGAGGATTTTTTCTAGTTTCAAGGGACTTAGCCGAGAGGGGGGGGAGGAGGGAAAAAGGGGGGTTTTGTCGGAGGATTTTTTCTGGCTTCAAGGGACTTAGCTGAGGGAGGGGGGAGAGGGGGGGGGGGGGTGGTTGTGGGGGCGGCGGTTGCGGAGGGTGTGGAAGGGATGTTTCTCGTTGTGGGGACTTCACCAATATTTTTGGGTTGCGGTTGGTATGGGAGGAATGTTTCTGGCAGTGGGGACTTACGGTAGTCCAATTTCTTGGGTTGCGACGGGTGTGGGGGAGAAATACCCCTGGGTTGGCGGAATTAGCCGGTTTTTTGTTGCGACCTGGTGGGGTGGTGGCCACCGGGGAAACTTGGTACAGTAATCTCGCAAGTGTTTGTTTCAGTATTGATCCCCGTTAGTGCGCTGATGCATCAGTGTCTACAGAAATCAAAACGATGAAACACCAGTCTCATACGTAAAAAAATGCTTTTTCAACATGGTTCAATCATAAAAAAAGGCTGGTACAAGCAAACACTCTGAAAAAAGTGTAAAAAACGCAAAAATCCTGATATCGTGGGGCCTGCACCTCGCGTCTAACACAAGGTTAGTCTGACACGAGGCCGTAGGAATTTGCCCTAATACACCATCCCACAGATGTCTATAAGTGTGTCTAAAATGGTTACCGTTAGAATACATGAATGATTACTAGAAGGAGAAACCTAGAACATATACCTGTTGGGTTGTACTCACTAGAAGCACACACCTAGTCTAGCCTATAACTTCTACATAGAACATATGTATAAGCTGACAGTTACGGCACACAAATATACCTGGATCTGATAGTTCCAGAGCAAGAATTGCCATTATAATCATTGAACTTTGCAACTGCTGTGGCAATAGCTCCACCATAGAAGGGGTAGGCTGCTGAACACGCCATTGATTGTGAGACTGGTTTGGCCCTTCCCTTTTTGCATATGCCCAATTTGAACGACCAATACTCAGCTCTGATGCAAATCTGAGACAGGAAGTTGAATGTGAGAAAGGGCACGGAAACATTAGGGCCTAGGCAAAAGAAAACTTGACAAGCAGAGTGCCATTAAATGCAGAGAACAGGCAAGGGTGATGGGACCAGAGGAAGCATCCATGCAATTCCACTCACCTTTGCCCTCCACCTCACTATCCCGCATCTCCCTCTCCCCTTCCCCACTTCCCCCCCTCTCCATTCCCCCAACCAACCAAAAGCCCTGCCCCACAGCTCTCACCTGCATGCCAATCTTGCTGCCCACAACTGAGGCAGACGAGGGAATAGTGCGGGAGCAGGTGAGGCCAGGGTTGTTGCGGTACAGCTCAGGCCAAGGGTTCTCTTTGTCCTTGGTGGTCGTTTGAAGCAGCCGGTCGCAGGTTTCTTGAGGTGTGAGCATGCCGTATCGCACACACTCGGGGACGGTGAAGGCGAAGGCAGCATTGCGCTCGAGGCACACCAAGCGGCCGGCCTTGATGGGCTTGGAGCAATTAAGGCCGGGGTTGAGAGCGGCAAGATCGCCCTCAGCAAAACGTTGCTGAGTGGAGTTGACCTGATTGCTAATGGATGAACAGGTGTCTCCCTGGAGGGTTTAACAATAGCAAGGAGATTGCACTTTTTGCTTTCTCGTTGGCATGTATTATTGGTGCAATGTGCTGAGTTGACTAGGCAAGTTGATTGGGTGCATGGTGTGGTGCACACAAGAGGGCACCATATCTCACATTGAGGATGTAGAAAAAGGCAGTGCAGGGTGTGGCGGGAGTACCAACCAGCTGAAGGACACTGCCCTTGGGCAATGGCTGGCTGCAATCTATGGCCTGCATTGTGACACATAGGTGCGGAGAATTGGTGGCGTGAGTGAGAAGTTCTTATCCTATTCCACAGAGGCACGGCCTCCACTCCTGACTGGTTTCTAGCTTAGTTGCTACAAACGCTTTGGCAGACAAGCGTTTAGCGTTCAAACGCTTGCGTTTGAGCGCAAACGCCAAACGCACCCAAAAACGCAAACGCTGTCTGGGATTTTTTTCGGGCTGCCCCCCTAAAAAAAACACGAGATTGTCGTTGGAGAATAGCCTTAAGGATAGGTGATTTACATGACATATGAGGATGCTGGCTTAAATGTTAAGCACGGTTCTTTTTTATGAGACAAAATGCTTGCTGGTAGAATCCCCATGTTTCCCCCCTCCTCCACAGGAATCTTGAACCCCTGCCCGGGTAAAAAATTTACCCCTGCCCGGGCAAGCGTTTGCCTAGCGTTCACATACACACTGCCGAGCGTTTAGCATTCAAACGCTAGCGTTCAAACGCCAAACGTGTTTGTAGCAACTAAGGTTTCTAGAGAGTAAAGATTTCACATCTTCCATGCTGATACGAAATGCAATCATTCACCCTGTGAAGAAACCAGCTGAATGTGTCCCACCAACAATGGGAAAGAACATACTATTTTCTATGCAATCCTCCCCTGTGGTTCAAGAACCATCCAACTGACTGACACTTCTAGAGAGCGCTTGTACAGAAAGAGCAGTTAGATAGGCAACTGGAGATATTGCGACAAGGACTCATCCAATTCATCCCCCATCTTCTTCTCCCAATTCTCACCGCATTCTGGAGTGTGAATTGATCCAATGAGAGACCAAAAAGAGGATAAACATCCGAGCACCACCAGTTGTCTCCACTGACTGTCATGTTGGTGGCTGTGGCATTAGCTGAGATGCAAGAGAGCGATGGAGATGTGAGGGGGAAGGGAAGGGAGAGAGGAATACTAAGTTTTAAAAGAAATGAGACTCCAGGGCTGTCATTTATTGCTGCAACAATATGTCCGTAAAAAACCATCCATACTAAACGGGAAATTCCAACCTGCATAATGTGACGAAGTAAAAGCCACTTTCTTTGGCTAGAGTAGCTTCACCTGGATCACAGGTGGGGAAGTCGTCAACAGTTTTGCTCTCGATGTAATTTGGAGGGCAGATGCAGGAGTAGGCGCCCTTGCCATCGTTGATGCACGCGCCCACGTAGCAGGGGTTCTTGAAGTACGACCCACACACGTCCACTGACACAATTGTATTGGGGTGGTGGATAGTACAGAGCTTGATTTCGGACGAGGAAAACAATGTGCGAGACTAGTCCAGTTGTTTGAACCACCTGGTTCAAATGTGTCCTGGTCCTTCCTGCCCGGTGACACAAGTTGCGGGGGCAAGAAACTGGTTCTTTCCCGCATGCATATGCGACCCTGAGGCGCGTGGTCCTAATGGAAAGCTGGGCAATGAGGCAGCAGACAAGACGAATGGGATCGGCTGTACTGTTGCCGCATGGGCGTCTTCCAACGAGCTGCAGAGAGCTACGGGTAGAGTGCCGAGGGACTCTTGGTCCCCCCCCCTCCCCTTTCGCTGACATGTGGCTGTAAAAAACTTAACGAATGCTGCTGTTACACCCTCATTACATACGGCGCTCAAAATCACCCGTCGCTGCTGTTAGTAAGCCACGGTCATTTTTCAGCACTTTTTGCTTCCAAAATTAAAATCCTCTGATAACCCGAATCTCACCATAAGCACATGTTTTGGAAACATTTCCATTTCCAACCTCCACAAAAGACTGCGTGGCACCTCCAGGAATACTGCAGCTGCAGTTATTGCCGCTGTCTGTAGTCGCCTCGCATGCAAACCGGCCGCACGGGTTCATACTGGGCTGCAAATCCCCATCGCCCCAGTAGCTGTTTTGGCCACACGGGTCTTCTGGAACTGGTGGGGGTGAAAGAGAGGATTCACTTGCTAACCATATTGCACAACTTAGTACACTTAGCGTTGAACTGATGCTACTTGCCTTATCCATGGCAGAAAAATGTTCAGCTGGCTTGCATGATTGGGAGAGGCAGCCTCGTGTACTCGCCACGAGGGGATGGAATGCCAAAAAAGAGAGGCTGGGGGGGCGTAGATGCTCCACTCTTAAAAATGGGGTAGGTGTCTCACTCTTGACAATGGGGTAGATGCCAGGCAGCGCGTTGATGCCACACACGCCATCTCCTCCCTGAATGTCCATGCGCATGTGGCCCCTGTCGCCCCACTCCACTCCCCACGAGTTGCGGATGATCCAAAACGGAGGAGCAATGCGATTCTGGCTGCCATCATTTCTTATAATGAAGTAGCCAATAACGAGTACAACATGGTTCAGACTGCCAGTGTAGCAGTTGAGATCTTGGTATTTCAACGTCTGAAATAAGAGAAGGGATGGAAAGCACATCCACCATGCTAATAGGGAGTTTAGCTCTACACAGCCTTGAAAGGAATGCCTCACAATCTCTTTTTAGGGAGGCATATTTACAGCGACGGAAAGTATTGTCCACATGTTTGTGACTTAGAGGAATTTTGCCATTTTAGGGGGTTATGGACATTAATACTTAATCTTCTGGTGTGCCTAGTGTAAGTAGGTTGGGGTAAGGCTCCACGCCCATGCCTTACATCACACAAGTATAATGATGTTTACAACAAATACTAGAAAATAACAATCTTGGTACATGTGGACAATTATTGACAGGCGCAAGCAGCAAGTTACATCAACCCCAAACTAGTACCTCATCCACCGCCCTTTCGCCTCAGACACCGCCCTCACCCTCCTGGGCATGCTTTCCACCAGGTGGGTGCACACATCCGCCGGGATCTTCTCCCATTTCACCTGCACCCGCTCCCAAAGGTCCAGCATACCAGTGGGAGGCTTATAAGGCTTGGCCAGCTGCCTCTTGAGATGAGCCCATAAATGCTCCATTGGGTTGAGGTCGGGTGAGGAAGACGGCCACTCTAGCACCCCTGAATCTTACTCTCAAAGCCACTCCTATACGATACGCGACTTGTGCTTCGGGTCGTTGTCGTGCTGGAAGATAGTTTTTGAGGGTGTAAGCTGGTAAAGCTCAATCGTACTGTTGAGATCGTCCTGCAGTATACTCAGCGAGAGCAGTCCGTCCACCCTACCATATGTTTTGCTCATGAAACCCGCTCCCTTTTACGACATGCAGTTGTAAATTATCAAGCAACCGCCCTCGTGTTTGACGGTCTGCTTGATTTGGTGTCTTTGGAGGGCAGTCCCTTCGTGAACGCAGGCGTATGAGAGTCAGTCGGATGCAAGACGACCAATCTTGGTCTCATCCGCACAGATAACTCGCTTCTAGTCGTCAACCGTCCAGTCTGCGTGGGCACGCGCCCATTCCAGCCTATCGCGTATGTTTTTCCGAGAGTGTCGCGGCTTCTTGGGATGCTTGATTGCGACAAGTCGGCTCCCATTCAAAGCGTTACGCAATGTCTTAGGATGCAACGTGATGCCGTGCTGCTTCTCAACGATTTTCGCCACGTGAGCAGAGATTTATGCCTCCTCGAGGGTAATCGACCGAACTATGCCGTGGCGAACTCTCTCTGTCACTAAGCGAGGGCGACCGGCTGAGGGCATCGTAGGACGCACGTCATCGCGGCTAGACTCTACAATCGCCTTGATGGGCCGAACTCTTCCCTATGGCTAGCTGTTAGCGATTCAACGATTGCTCTACCCCCTCCGCAACAAGGGAATGATCTATGCGTAGAGCGCCTCATCTAACAGTTTCATGACGGCCTAATCATCGCAGCGGTCCTAGCCTATCTCCTGACTACTCGATAGTCGCGAGGGCAAGTAAGAAGAAATAGCGAGGTTAGGAAATAGATCTACTACGCTGCTTGGCCTAAACTGTCCGGATGCACCCACGCGGACGAAATCTCGTCCTCGGTAAAAAATCGACCCCAATAAAACTGAAACCAGCATCCGTCACATACAGTACAGTACTACTTTACATCCAACCCCGAAATTTGATTCGTAACTAAACAAAGAAGGCACCAAACCAGTACGAGAAATGTTTTAAGGCAATAATCCGGGCAATACTTTCCGTCGCTCTATATATGTTGACTATCAAAAGGAGACCACGTGATGCCTCACCCCATCATAGCCAACAAACGTTGCAGCAGAGGCCTCGATGTGAACCACCACTGGCTGGCACTGCACTGCCAGCATGAGCCCCACGTACCCCTTGAACTGCGTGCGCTCAAAAGCATGCACTGGATACCTTGTTGCCTAGATCCACGAGAGTGCATTATTGATTGAAGTAGGGAGGGATGAGGGTGAGGGAAGGAGTAATGAAAGAAGGGAACAGTTCAAGAAAGGGGTCAAGCACCACGCCTTGGCGACCATGTTCATTTGGAAAATATATGAGCTATGTTTCAAGGAAACTTGTGAATGGAACAAAATCCATTGCTGCACCAACGTACCAATGACTCACTTACCAATCTGACATCAAATTCACTTTTCATGACTCTACCTCACCTGACCTGCCACGTCCTGATGTGGTTAGCCCTACCGGGTCTGTGTCCCCTGTAAGTGCAGTGCCGGCATCAAGAGTGACCAGCTTCTCAAAGGCCTCGGTGGGGGAGCCCCCAGCCGTGCACTTGTCTGTGTCGGTGAGCCCCATGGCTGCAAAGAGTGACTCCACTGACAGCTGGGGAGCCATCTGATTCCTTGCAATGCCGTAGGCTGCCTCCACACTCGCCACCACCGCATACGCCCAGCAGGCATCTGGGAACAGAGAATATTAGAAAGAGAAAAGTACATCATGTGATGAGCATGGTGAGCACGTGCAAACGGGTGCTTACGCAACATTCCAAATTAGGACAATGCTCAGAACACATAAAACACGACTTGGCCTTGAACATGCAAAGTGATGCTAAACTGGGACAATTTTCAGGAACAATGAAGAATATGCCACTCGTGTAACAACTTGCAATATCAACTCCTCAGAACCTGAACTGAGTGGACCTCCTTGACCATATGTACTTGAAGATGACGTCCTCTTTGCGCTCATTACAATCATCCTGCTTCTTGACAGATTACACTGAGGGAAAAAACCGTCCGGATGTTTGGCACTAAGTTGGGTTTTTAGGCTTTGAGACTACTGTATGGTAAACCTGCAAGATGCACGGTGGTACACGTTGGGAGAGGCACAAAGTGGATGCGTTCACTGCACTGAGAACTAGATTAGTACATTGGATCTAACTCATACTCCAAAAGATATACAACGAGTACATCCGGACAGTTTTTTCCCAGGACAAAGAGCAAACTTCCTAACAACGTTTCTAGTACCTAGTCCACCTACTCTTGGCGTTGATCACCATCCACACCCTCCTAGGCATGTTATCTATGTGGTTAGTGCAGACCTTTGCATGAAGCTTCTCGCACTCTTCCTTGACCCACCATTTTGCATAAGGGGGTGAGCACAAGGAAAATTGCGAAGTATTTGAGCGTATGCATAAGTATTGTGCACGAATTCAGATTGAATGTAATCTCTGAGACTAGCCAAGCCGAAGGGTGTCCAAAGATGCCATTAGTTGAATGGTCTTGGCTTATCATGGGTTGTTTTCGTCGAATCAGAGTAGGGTGAAATCACGTATAGAGTGGCAAAATCTAGCATACCCGCCACGAAACTTAGGGTAACAGAGCACGGTCGATTGAGCATCCTTTCATTGTTAGAATCATGTTAAAATCCGCGAGTCTAGTGACAGTGCATCAGTTGAAGAAGTCTCGACTGTTTGGGAAGAATATCAGGGTTGAGGTCTGGTGAGGAAGAGGGGCACTCCAGAGCTACATATCCATGCTCTCCGAGCCATTCCAAGCCTAGGCAGGGAAAATGACATGGAATGCCTTGGAGAGCATAAGTATGTTGCGCTGGAGTGACCCTTTTTCTCACCAGACCTCAATCCAGATATTCTTCCCAAACAGTCGAGGTTTCTTCGACTGCTGCCCCGTCACTAGACCCGCGTATTTTAACATGGTTCACACAGTGAAAGGATGTTCAGTCGACCGTGCTCTGTTACCCTAAGATTCGTGGCGGGAATGCTAGATTTTGCCACTCTATTCGTGATTTTACCCTAGAACGATACGACGAAGACGACCCATGATAAGCCGGGACCATTTAACTAATGGCATCTTTGGACACCCCTCGGCTTGGCTAGTCTCAGAGATTACATTCAATCTGAATTCGTGCACAATACTTATGCATACGCTCAAATACTTCGCAATTTTCCTTGTGCTCACCCCCTTATGCAAAATGGTGGGTCAAGGAAGAGTGCGAGAAGCTTCATGCAAAGGTCTGCACTAACCACACAGATAACATGCCTAGGAGGGTGTGGATGGTGATCAACGCCAAGAGTAGGTGGACTAGGTACTAGAAACGTTGTTAGGAAGTTTGCTCTTTGTCCTGGGAAAAAACTGTCCGGATGTACTCGTTGTATATCTTTTGGAGTATGAGTTAGATCCAATGTACTAATCTAGTTCTCAGTGCAGTGAACGCATCCACTTTGTGCCTCTCCCAACATGTACCACCGTGCATCTTGCAGGTTTACCATACAGTAGTCTCAAAGCCTAAAAACCCAACTTAGTGCCAAACATCCGGACGGTTTTTTCCCTCAGTGTATTTATTCAGCAGCACATAACGTGCCGTCCACTTTCCACTCACTGCAATCGTCCTGGTTCTTAACAGGCCAGCCGAGGAAGGGCACGGAGTCCCAGGTGTGGAAATCGCGGATGCGCCACGAGTCCTGCTGGTTGGCCGCCACACTGAAGTCTGCACTCACATAGCGCGAGAAGGGACTGGCTCGCGGTGGGGCGTAAGTAGCTACCGAAAACGACAGGCCACGGGCTGTGAGGGAAGGTAGGTGGTGGAGGAAGAGAGACATGTGGATAGGGAAATGTGGGAGAGAGGTAGATGAGAGGCATGCATGGTGTGGTGTGGGATGCATGGATCCGCTTTTGAAGCTGTTCTTGAGATTGTTGGTTCGTGCACAAGACACAAACTCATTTCAAATGAACCACTCATATTCACAAATAGTATCACTTTATGAGCTCTGCCCGACAATATGCCCACGAAAACAAAATTGTGCCATCCAAATCATTCTCAAGTAAAGGTTCTCCTATAAAACTTGCAGGCTGCTGTTTACCATCCCAACATCAATTTGCCACATGGCAAAGAGCTCACCTTGTTCTTTGACCTGGACTGACTTGAGTGAAGGAACGCCTGTCAGAACACATGAGGAGAGAAAGGCACAGCAGCCACAGGATGATGGTTGAGTCGCTAGATGGGTAAAGAACCACTTGACCCGCAAGATCACTCTTAATAGCCACCATCATTCATCATCATCACCGCCCTGACCTAGCCATAACCGATGGCACCAACATCATTCCCCAGCATGACACCTCAAAATTGCACCAAGTACCACAGCAGTATCACCGCTAACATTATTATCCACCATATACCATGATACTCATTGCCACCAGTACTGCAACGCAACTACCATCGCAATCATCCTTCCATCTCAGATACTCTCATCACGCAGACGATCATCACCACCACCATCACCCCACTCGACATATTCTTGCCTGTTTGCACGGCAGAGTCAACAATGCCATGCAGCTGGAAGGGCTTCACAATGGTGGATGCCACAAAGCCAAAGAAGAACGCCTGCTGCTGCACACCAGCCTGTAGCACCGCACACAGTGCCAGCTCTCTCTGCAGAAGCGGCTCCTCTAGCTTCGTCTTTGATTCAGCTAGGAACACCTGAATGGTCCCAGGAGCCCCGGGCGCATAGTCTACCCATGCCGTGTATGCATTGCCGTCGGTCAATCTGACTGGAGACTCCACCGCAAATAAGGATTCATCCGTGCCCTTAATGTTTAGCCCCACATGCTGCTCGCTCCTATTGTTATGCTTGCTATTTTGAAGTGTGTCGAATTCAATGGCCATACTTCGAGTTCCCACTTTGACCTTTGATGCAATTACAAGTGCAAAGCCATTGGACCCGAGAGTACCATACTCAGGAATGAGGGCAAAGGTGAAGTTGACACTGAAAGCCAACTCCAAGCCACATCCTGAGCTCTGGCCAGGCGGGTACGCAAACAGGGTTATTGGCTTTGCCATGAACCTCCCTGCTGTCTCGTGCTGTGTCCCCGAGGTGAGCACAGTAAATGGAGGGAAAACATGCTTGCTGATTGGAAGACTTCGAGCCCAGCCTGCATGGATGTGATGGATGGCAGCAGGCCACAGGGAAGGGTGGGAGTGGTGGAGCAAGGGTGTCTGCTAAGCTGGCTGAAAATAGTTCATGTGGTCAGCTCTTTGAGAGTGGCTCCATAGATGAGGGGAATTCGCGCTGTGCATTGTGCATGATGAATGTAGCAGAGGTCGCACAAAAGTGATGGTGCAGCGGAAGCATAATAATGCAACGGGCCTGTGTGGCGACTGTACGGCTGCTACCTCTGCCTATGCTCATAGAGTGTGTTAAGTAGCAAGATGCAGCAGCGGCATTGCTTCAGGCTTGCAACAGAAAACGGTAATGGAGTGTGGACTGCAATACCTTAAGAAACTGTGATATCCATATAGCCAGCAGAGTACCTTCAGCATAACAGTTGCTATCTCCAAGGACCACGAATCCCGGTTTACACCACATGCACGTTGGTACCAAGCTGGGTCCGTCTGGATAGCACATGGCACGACCATCACAAGCAGCAGTGGTATTGGAGATGCCACAAAACGCCACACACTCTGCTGCAGGCCGCTGCACCTCGGAGCTGCAGTCACTGTCCAGCGTGAAGCAGTTGACAACGGTATTGTGTTGATGGCAGCCTGACTCGAGCAAAGGACCCGACAAGTAGTTGTTGGAAAGGTCTATGTTTATGAATGGATTATTCACCATAGGGCCTGTGAGGTAGTTGTGAGAGAAATCACTGGACGGGGGGAAAGAAGGAAAGGGAGGTGTGGGCAGTGGGGTGAGGTGCCAAGAACAGGCATGAGATATGGCTGACATCTATGGGGAGAATATGGATACAGGCAAATTGTTTGAGGTGAACGGCAGTTGCGCAAAACATAATGAATGCAAGTGGGAGGAGGAGAAGGGGGGCAGGGGTGGATTAAGCAGACGAAGGGGGGGGGCGGAGGGGGAGGTGGTGTTGGTGGTGGTGGAGGAGGAGGAGGAGGAGGAGGAGGAGGAGGAGGAGGAGGAGGAGGAGGAGGAGGAGGAGGAGGAGGAGGAGGAGGAGGAGGAGGAGGAGGAGGATGAGGAGGAGGAGGAGGAGGAGGAGGAGGAGGAGGAGGAGGAGGAGGAGGAGGAGGAGGAGGAGGAGGAGGAGGAGGGGGGGGGTGAGAAGGAGGAGGAGAAGGAGGAGGAGGAGGAGGAGGAGGAGGAGGAGGAGGAGGAGGAGGAGGAGGAGGAGGAGGAGGAGGAGGAGGAGGAGGAGGAGGAGGAGGAGGAGGAGGAGGAGGAGGAGGGAAGGGGGATCCCCCCGAAGTAGAGGGGGAGGCAATGAAACTACCTGAAACTACCCGTGTGAAGGTGAAGTGAAAGTGTTACAGACACGGTGAGTAAGATAGCTAAACAAGTTGTAAGAAGTCGAAGTGTTTACCATATCTGAGCCATGCTGCAACAACACTTTCCATACAAGGTAAAAGCGCAGCAGTGCAGAAGTGTGTAAGATACAGTGAACGAGTTTTTGGAAGAGTTGAACAGGACACGGGGGAATATAGTTATGCGCAAGAGTTTACCTGCGGGTGTATGAACAATCATGGCAATGAAAAACAGGAGTGCCACCAGCTGAGTTAACTAGTGTGTCGTACCACTTCATCAACTCATCAAAATCGGCGAGTGCAGCAGGCAAGCTTCCAGCTAGCTGGTTGTAGGCGAGTGACCTGAGGGTTATGAAGGGATAGGGGTGGAAAGGAGTGGGTGACGAGAAACAGGCACAGTGCAGAACGCACACGTGAAAAGGGGTGAAATCGTTAGTTGTGATAGAATTTTACTCACGGAAATTGTATCCTGTGCCATGTATAATCCCTTCAAATGCTTCCATGCAGATTCAGCCGGAGTCAAACTAGTGTGAAGAGAGCGTATACCGAGCTGCTCTTTCAGCGACAGATTGCGGACAAGGACGGTGTAAGCGCTGAGTGAAGCATGAAGAAAAGTCTGTTGTTCCATCTGTGTTCCCGTAACAAGAGTAATCGCCTCTGAAGAACGGCCACAATCCAGCGGATTTCGTGAGAAGCTCGAACTCAATATTCCAAGCGTAGAAGTCAGCGCCATTAAATGGTATAGTAGTCTTGATCTGTGTATTGCTGAGAAGGTTTGGAGCTTGAAAGACTGGTCCAGTAAAAGAAATCTGCTGCTGCGGAAATTGCTGTTGCGGTTGCTATTGTTGCTGTTGCTGTTGTTGCTGAAGTTGTTGTTGCTCTTGCTGCTGTTGTTGAAGAAATTGAAACTGTTGATGTTGAGCAGGTGTAAATGCAAACGAAGAGCTGGAGTTTGGAGCAGCTGCAGCTCTTGTATAGCTCGAGCCGTCAATGCTCATACAACTAAAAGCTGCTGTTACTGATGCTGCTGCTTGTTGCTGTGATGTTGCATGTGCAGAGGACGAGGTCCTCGGTGGATGCACAGAAGGCATACCTTGCTGCTGTTGTGGTATCCCAATTGAAGAATAAGCAGATGGAAATTTTCCAGCTGCAGATTCACCTGCTTGACCAATGATGACTGTAGGATTTGTGATACCTGTGGGTCCAGTTGTTGAAGAGGCAGACGTTGGAGGTGGTGATGGTCCAGTCATTTGTAAAACTGTTGATAGTCGAATTGACGAAAGTCTTAATTCCAGACAGCTCTCATACCATGAAAGAATTTGAAAGGTGGTGCAGGAGACTAAGTATAGAATCTGCAAGCCCAAGTACTTGAAGTAGAAAGTAATACTGGAAGTACCTCCAGTAACAGCCAGTATTAACAAGTTGTAACACCAGAGTCAGTGTTACAGCCTTGCGATACTTCAAGACTTAACCAAGGATCTTTGTTGGAATGGTAGACTAATAAGACAGCGGAAGTCTTAGAACTTGTAAAGTGTTGACCAAAATTTACTGAAGAACAAGTTAACAATTGAAGTTGTACAAGCTACATTTATATCTACTAGAAGGACCTACTCAGTGATGTACAGTACCTGTTCGAGCTATTTGCGCTATGCGCTCTGACCGATATTGAAAAGAGCGCGAGTGTTCGCATAACTGAAATGGCTTGCTGACGTAATCATCCAGACGAGCACTATTTGCTGACGTCATTCTACCGATGCTAACTACAGTGTAACTCGACAATATCTATCGGAACTACTTACAGATTGCTTACGAATTTATCACGACACTTCCTGTATTACTTTCTACTTCAAGAACTTGTGTCTGCAGATTCTTTACCTAGTCTCCTGCACCACTTGTCAAATTCTTTCATGGTATGAGGGCTGTCTGGAATTAAGACTATAGTCAATTCTACAGATGACTGGACCATCACCAGCTCCAACATCTGCTTCTTCAACAATTGGACCCACGGGTATTACAAATCCTACAGTCTTCACAGGCCAAGCAGGTGACTCTGCAGCTGGAAATTTTTCCACCAGCTTATTCTTCAATCGGAATCCCTCAACAGCAGCAAGTCTTCCCTACTGTGCATCCACCAGGGACTTCGTCCTCTGCACCTGCAACATCACAGCAACAAGCAGCATCATCAGTAACAGCAGCCTTCAGTGGTATGAGTATTGATGGTTCTACCTATGCAAGAGCTGTAGCCGCTCCAAGCTCCAGTTCTTCGTTCGCATTTACACCTAATCAACATCAACAGTTCCAATTTTTGCAACAGCAGCAACAAGCGCAACAATAGTTTCAGCAACAACAGCAAAATTAACAGCATCAGCAACAGCAACAACAGCAACAACAGCAACAGCAACAGCAGTTTTCGCAGCAGCAGATTTCTTTTGCACGACCTGCTTTTCAAGCTCCAAACTTTTAAGCAATATGCAGATCAAGTCAATAATGCCTTTTAATGGTGTCGACTTCTACTCCAGGAGTTTCGAATTGGAGCTCCTCGCAAAATCCGCTGGATTAGGGCCGTTCTTCAGTGGCGATTACTCGTATCCTGTCACGGGAACACAGATGGAGCAGCAAAGTGTCTTCATGCTTCACTCAGCGCTTATACAGTTCTTATATGCGATCTGTCGCTGCAAGAGCAGCTCGGTATACGCTCTCTTCACACCTGCTTGACTCCAGCCGAATCTGTGTGGAAGCATTTGAAGGGGCTGTATATGGCACATGACACCATTTCCGTGAGTAATATTCTCTCACATCTGGCAACTGTACGGATGCAGGGCAACGAGAACGTTTCGGATTACATCAACAGGGCTCAAACACTTTGTGACCAATGGGAAAAATGCAGCGGATACTTCCCAAAGGACATGTTTGTAACATTTTTTCTTGCCGGCCTTGCGGCAGTGTCGATCTCTTCTTCGCATTCAACCAATTTTTTTTCCGAAGCCGAAATTTGTTCGATTCTTTAAGCTGAGCAGCAGGAACTTGACCTGCAAACATCACGTAACAAAAAAGGAGTAGTTGATATCAGTTTCTATTCAACACCTGCAAAACATATAAACATGGTTTTCTGTCACTACTGCAAAAAGAATGCACACATCATCAAATATTGCAACAAGCTTCAGCAGCAGTCACAGCAGTTCAAGCAACCCATGACGCACAATCCACTAACAACAACTCCTGCCACATCAGGATTACAGGTTTTTAGCCGTGTTACAATAGTTCGTGCAACAGATTCGGATTTCGATGATGAGGAGGAAGAGAGTTCCATCGAGCAACCTGAGAACATTATCTTACCTCAGATCTATGCTAATCTTGCTCGGGTTATTGCAGGACCAAACACTTGGTATCTTGACAGCTGTTGTGGTCAACATGTGTGCTCTGCCGAGACACTCTTCATCACTCATCAGCGTCCTCTTCAACGTCCAGTACCTGTCACAGTTGCAAACGGACAAACGATCATGGCAAGATCAATCGATAGCGTTATGCTGGATTCTGTTGATACGGGTTTTTCCTTATATGTTACGAACGTCCTCATCATCACTGTACTTGGTTTTAATATTCTTTCAACAGCTCAACTTCTGCAACATAAGTTCAGGACACAAGGAAATTGTGAGACCATGGACCAGGAACTTTATCACAACGATACCAATACTTACATTGGGAGAGCTGCCACTCAGTATGGCGTCTCCGTTCTTCAATTTGAGTCGCAAGGCACTTCTGGAGATTCTGCGAGAGTGTTATCTCTTGGGCCTTGGCAACATCCTGAAGAAACTGATTTTCAAAAGGTTGAAGTAGACTTCCGTGCAACTGTTGTTCCAACGGGATCTCGTATAGCCGCAGTGGTTCTAACAGCTCTTGATTCCTAGCCAACAAACACAGTTGACGAAGATACATCAACGAACCATTTCCAAGTCACTTTCCGAGATCCACTCGTTACACACTTATGCAGAAAGTCTACAGCGACATCCTCAACTTTCCCGAAGCAGGACCTAAGGGGAAGCTCTATATGATTTCTTTTATTGAAGCTTCTACCCGATATGTTTGGACGGCAAACATACCGGCTCTTCATATGGCTCACTCCATCTTCGTCACATGGCTTGCGGTGGCTGAAAGAGAGTCGAAGGAAAAGCTTCAAGAATTTCAGAGTGACGGATCAGAGGAGTATATGAACACCACCTTCACTGAGTATCTTCAAACCCTAGGCATCAAACGCCGAGGGTCTCTGCCACATCAACATCAGCAGATGGGGGTAGCGGAGTAGATGAACAGGACGTTACAAGAAAAGATGCGAGTCCTGCTAACTCAGGCAGCACTGCTACCACGTTTTTGGACTTACGCTTTGGACCATGCAGTTCTTCTGCACAACTTGCTGTCGACAAATTCTCTTCCACAATTTTCTTCGCCACACCTGCAGTGGGCAAAAACAGTTGGCAACACCAAACTTTTAAGAGTTTTTAAGTGTATTGTCCAATACCGACCTCCGACTGCAGCACTCGGAAATTTTTCAGAACGGGCAAAGTGGGGAATACATCTTGGCATCGAGAAGCAGTTTTACGCATGGAAAATTATGGATCTTCGCACGAGTCAAAATTGTACCAGCACGTGATTGTCTTTTCTACGAACGACTCACCTTACCTGTTTTTCCTGCTCACTAGGCAGCAGCTGCCAATCCTGCCAGGCTGTTTGAAGGCCCGCGTGCTTTCGCTACCGACGAGGCCAAAACAGATGTACATGATGATTCCGTCGCCGAATCTTCCGAAGCTGCCACAGACATCCCCGTACCAACCACGTTAGCTGGAACTGCCGAATTTATCCCACTCAGCGAAGCAGACAGTGAAGATGTCTGCGATGTCGTTCTTGATTACGAACGTCATCGTCAGCAGCAACCAATGCCCGTTGTCTCTGAAGCAGCTATCCGTGTAACACTTGAAGAAGTTGGGGGGGGAACAGGGGTAAGAACACAACTTCTCTGGTGTAAACTCAAATCGTCCTCGTTTTACAGAAACTGGATTACAGGTATTGGGACTCGCATCTGCAGTACAGTCAAACAGCAGTGAGACTCTGGAGCCGAAAACAGTTCACCATGTGTGAGAGTACGACCCCGTTCCATTCCTTTCTCCTTTCCATCTTCCGTTTCTATTTCATTCCTCTTCTTATCCTGATCCATTTGGGTTTTATCTTATTCAATTTGGATTCCTATTTCCCCTTTTCCATAAACCTTTGGTTTATCCTGTTATTATCATTATATCACCGACCAGGCTTGGGGTGTAGTGGTGCGCTATATGTAGCGTAATCCTACCATAATCCCTTAAAGCCAATAGCCTCGCGTGGCTATACGCAGGGTGATTCTATTTTCTAGAAGGGTCTATTCCCTTGGGATAGGATAAACCTGGTTACCTGATGTACTTTGGAAGTATAAAAGTGCCTTGTACTCTTCGATAGGGCAACCTTTCTTCGACACATTTGATCTTGTAACACTTGGTAATCAGAGCTTTTCTCACTTGGCCGCGCTCAGCTAAGCAGCCCCAGCGGGACTCCTGCCTTGAAAAACCGCTGGGGGCGACCAATTCGACGCCGATTCTGGTAAGCACCAGCTCCGCACTTTTTCGAATTACCCCCTCCGCGCGTGTTTTGAACCGGATGGCAAAATTCGACAACACCGAGGTTACCCAGCAGCTCTTCGCGCGCATCGCAGCCCTTTAGGAGGAGATGCGAGCGGCAAAGCGTGGCGAAACGAGTTCGAGCGAGTAACTCGACTCACCAGAGCGCAACATGAGACGACAAACGGCGACGACGCAGCAGTCACTGCAGTTTCTCGAGGCTTCGAAACAGCGCCCACCTGAGCCGTTCGATCTGAGCGATCGAAACTCCGACGTCCGCAGATGGATCGCCGGCATGGAGATCTACTTCGTAACCGTCGGATGTAGCTCGTCAGTCTGGGACGGACAACGCATACGACTCGCGGCGACACTGATGCGAGGACCGGCACTCGAGTGGATCGGCGGTAACAGCACCTTCATCCACGGCGAAGCCACGTGGCAACAGTTCCACACCAACCTGCTGAAACGTTTCGAGCCGATAAATTCGGGTTTCCTTGCCCGGGAAAAAATCCATCGACATCGAGAGTTTGGGAGTGTAGCACAGTACACGCAGCAGATGGAAGAATTTTATAACCGCATTCCCGACCCGACCGAAGGGGAAAAAGTACAGTCGTACCTCGCTGGGCTGAAGACCGAAGTCAAACGACAAGTGGCAGCAACAAACTACGCGAGCTATAGTGACGTCGTATCGGCCGCGGAACGCTTCGACATGGTCAACGTCGAGACACGACGGGCGCACGTCGGCAGTACGCGACACGGCGACCGCTCGGCTCACACCACGTTCGCCAACCCTATGAAAGTCGACAGGTTCGAAGGGCGGCCACGTCCGAAAAACACCAACTTCACGTATGATTTTTGCGGGGTGCTGGGTCATCGAATCTTCAACTGCAACAAAATGAAAGCCGCACACGCAGAGTATCAGGCATGCAACAGTGGCGGAAATCCTTTGGCCGATCAGAAGCCAAAAAGCGGGAGTCGCCAGTGATTGCGGATCTAGCTGGCGAAAAAGAAAAGATCCGAAAGCGGCCGCGGACTTCCGGAAAAATGAACTTCGACGCAGCTGATTCAACGCGAACAGGAGAAATGATGGGGAAAATTCTCCACCGCACGACCAGTCTTTGCCAGAGGAATTTGCCGAGAAAAACTCTAACTCCGTGAAAAAGGACTCTGCCGAGACGGGGAAACTCCTTGAAGACCCAAGAAATTATAAGGATTCGTTAAAGTTATCTGATAAAGATGCTTCAATAAAGGACGAGCTATCGCCATACCGAACGCACCAACATGAGATCGTGGAGGAACCAGGTTCGAAGCCGACCTTCCGAGCACCATATCGGCTCAGCCCCACAGAGCTAGCCGACATGAAGAAGCAGATCGAGTATCTCGTCGCCAAAGGACTCATCCAACCATCCACTTCACCGTACGGTGCCCCAGTACTCTTCACACCGAAACCAGACGGAAGCCTGCGCATGTGCATCGACTACCGGGCTCTCAACAAGCAGACCATCAAGAACAAGTACTCGATTCCACGAATGGATGACATGCTCGACCAGCTTTGGGGAGCCACGGTATTTTCAAAATTTGATCTGCGGTCCGGATACTCGCAGATAAGAATGGCGGACGATTCCATTCACAAAACTGCCTTCCGAACTCGGTACGGATCGTACGAGTATCTGGTGATGCCGTTCGAACTCACCAACGCACCTGCAACATTCCAAGCAAAGATTAATCAAATCCTACGCCCACTCTTCGATGAATGCGTGGTGGTGTACCTGGATGACATCCTCGTCTACTCGCGCGACATGCAATAACACCTCGAACACTTACGACGCGTCTTCGAGATTCTTCGACGAGAACGCTTCTACGTCAAACTATCCAAGAGCGACTTCGCCCTCGAGAAAGTCCAATTTCTCGGACATATCGTAAGCGCTCAAGGAGTTTACGTCAACCCCAAGAAAATCAAAGCTGTGCGTACGTGGAAGACACCCGAGAATGTGAAGGAGTTACAGCAGTTCCTTGGCTTCGCTAACTACTACAACAGGTTCGTGCCGCAATACGCAAAAATCGCCACGCCACTCACGAATCTGCTAAAAAAGAACACGCCCTATAAATGGTAGCCAAACCACCAGGAAGCCATGGAGCAGCTGAAGCAAGCACTCACATCCGCACGAGTGCTCATCTTGCCAGACCCCGAATGCGACTACGTCATCGAAACTGACGCCAGCGACCAGGCAGTGGGAGTAGTCTTGATGCAAGACCAGGGGAATGGACTGCAACCAATCGCCTACCTCAGCAAGAAACTACACGGGGCAGAACTCAACTACCCGATACACGATAAGGAGGCCCTGGCTATCATCATCGGATTCAAAACGTGGAGATGCTATCTTGAAGGACGCAAGACGACAGTCTACACCGACCATTGCAGCCTAAAATATTTGAAGACACAACCAAGCCTCTCCAGGCGATAGGTTCGGTGGATCGACTTCCTCAAGACGCACTTCCACTATGACATCGTGTACAAGCCCGCCATAAAAACAAAGCCAATGCGCTTAGCCAGCCTGCACACGTTGCCGCGATCCAGGTTTAAGGGATGAATCCACTCCACAAGGGACTCTTCACACACGGGTATACCATCAACCCCGAAATTCCCTTGGAAGAAAAGCGACATCTGTTACTGTGGGACAACGACATCGCGTACCAGAAAGGATCAACGAAGATCTGGGCACCTAATTACCCTCCATTGCGCCAGTTACTACTCGAAGAATACCACGACGTCATGTATGCGGGACACTTCGGTAGCAACTAGATGCTTACCGGTATCGCCAAACACTACTACTGGCCCCACATGGCAGATGACGTACAGAAATTCGTCACCTCGTGCACTACATGTCAACGGATGAAGAGCAGCAAGCGGAAAAAGGCGGGTTTGCTACAGCCTCTTCCTGTCCCAGAACAACCATGGCAAGTGGTAAGCCTAGACTTCATCACCGGGCTACCAACTACCACAAGCGGTCATAACGCAATCCTTGTCGTCATTGACAAGTTCTCCAAAATGGGACACTTCATCCTGACACACACGACAGCACGCACCAAGGAGACGGCACAACTCTTTGTTCGCTACATCATCTCACAACATGGCATTCCAACCACACTCATCTCCGACCGAGACCCTAAGTTCACTAGTAAATTTTGGAAAGAACTGATGTCTCTGCTCGGGACCAAACTCGCCATGTCATCCGCCTACCATCCGCAGAAAGATGGACAGACCGAGAGCCTCAACCAAATTGTGGAGTAACTCCTCCGCGCAGCCTGCAAGGACGGAATCTCCAAATGGGACTTGCATCTGCCCGTCCTGGAGTTTGCCTACAACAATGCTACTCACGCCGCTACTAGACAGACGCTGTTCTTCCTCTGTTACGGACGCCACCCACTCACACCTCAACAGCCAAACATACCAGCCACAGTCCAACCCGCTCATGATTTCATTACGACTATGCACAAGCTTTGGGATCGGACCCACAAGCGCCTTCTCGACATTCAGCAACAACAGAAGCGCCAGGCCGATCGCCACCGCACAGACCAAACCATCATCGTGGGAGATTGAGTACTACTCGACACGCGCAATCTTGACATCAGCCATCTCCCATCCAAACTGCGACTTCATTTCTGCGGGCCTTTTCTCGTTGAAGCACAGGTCACTCCTGTTACCTTCCGCTTTCGCCTGCCAGCTACCTGGAAGACTCACAACGCCTTCCATGTCCAACTCTTGAAGCCCTACCGAGATTCCAACGCGATCTTCTCTGGACGCCAACCATCGCCGCCGCCGCCCGTCCTCATCCATGAAGAACCCGAGTACGAGGTCGAGTCCGTGCTTGGTCACCGCCGTCGACAGAATGGCACCATGGAGCTTCTCATCCATTGGAAGGGTTATGATCCTTCAGAGGATAGCTGGGTCTCTGAATCCGAGATCGACCACGCTCGTCGTCCTCTTCGCGACTACCTTGTCAAGCAGGGTGTTACGTCTACCACCCAGCTTTGAGGGGGGGAAGTGTGAGAGTATGACCCCGTTCCATTCCTTTCTCCTTTCCGTCTTTTCTTTCCATTTCATTCCTCTTCTTATCCTGATCCATTTGGGTTTTATCTTATTCAATTTGGATTCCTATTTCCCCTTTTCCATAAACCATTGGTTTTTCCTGTTATTATAATTATATCACTGACCAGGCTCGGGGTGTACTGGCGCGCTATATGTAGCGTAATCCGACCATAATCCCTTAAAGCCAATAGCCTCGCGTGGCTATACGCATAGTGATTCTATTTTCTAGAAGGGTCTATTCCCTTGGGATAGGATAAACCTAGTTACCTGATGTACTTTGGAAGTATAAAAGCGCCTTGTACTCATCGATAGTGCAACCTTTCCTCGACACATTCGATCCTGTGACAGGCGGGCTCGAGACACTGTTGCGCTGCTGGCCATCACCAGGTGCCTACCAGTAACCAAGCGTGCACGCCTTGCGTCGCAGGAGACAGCTCAGGCTCTTTGGACTGCAGTCGAGGCTCGCTACTCATCCCCATCTTCAGCCACCCTCAGCCGCCTCGTCCTCCGGTCTAAATTCCCTGACTTGGCCTCCTTCTCCACAGTCGCGAACCTTGTCCAGCACCTCTGAGACCTCGAGTTACACTACTCTGTAGCCTGCCCCAAGGCCGACCTTGCTACCCACCCCCCACCCACTTGGCTCACCCTGTGCCTCCTCATCATCCGCCTCCCTGACTGCCTCGCTCTTGCTTGGGACGCGCTCCTTGCCCTGTTTCCACTACCCTCACTATCGATTGCTTCTCCATCTCCTTGACGGAGGTTAAGATCCGCCTCTGTGCTAGCGTTGAGTCCACTGGCGTGGTAGCCGTCCCTCTCTTCCAGGGTTGCTCTTCGTCTCAGGCCCTTGTATCTGGTGCCTCCACCTATCGCTGAGACCGATGCAGCGATCACTATGCCTGGCCGCTCGGCCAAGCGCTCCTAGTGCCGTGGTGGTTGTGGTGCGTCGGCGGGCAGTCGGGGCACTTGTGAGGCCTCGAATGCTAGCAGAGGAGCGGGTGCGGAGAAGGAGGGGGAGCAGTAGCAGTAGCAGCAGCCATGGGGTCTTGGGAGCTCTGGGTGTGGTGCGAGCCCTGCTAGTTAAGCCCCAGGGCTGTTGCAGCCTTGGGGCTCGCGTGGCTCCTCCGGGGGCCAAGAGGGTGTGGGGCCAGGGGGTCCTGTGTGCTGTGTATACTTGATCCAGCCTAGCCCCCTGCATGGTCAGACCTATGGGCGCACGCGTTACACCGCCGCGCGCTGCTTCTGTCGCCTGGACGACCTGTACCCATGGTCACTTTGGGTCCTAGGCGCCACTTCCAGATTGGCCGGTACTTATCCATCGCGGTGTCCCAATCTTTAAGTTAGGCTTGGCCCAGATAGGTTCTGCCATGTACAATATGCTGTATACTTTTAGTATTATGGTGTGCATGCCTCTTATTGTAATGTCTTTTTGTGTGTATAGCCTAGGCTCCTCTACGTTCTGTATTCTAGGCTCCTCGGCCGCCCCTGTTGAGGACTCATTCACTCTCAACTCTGGCGAGTCACACTGCTTCTTCCGAGACCACACTGCACTCATACCTCTTCCTGTGCCGGTTCCAATCTCCTTCGCTGACTCGCCTGCCGCAGTTGTCGCTAGTAGTACCACCTCTCTCCCGTGTCCGGCTATCCCGTCCATCTTTCGTACCAGCTTGCATATCCCCACGTTCTCCAGAAACCTGGTTGGTATTGGTCATATCCATGACCTCGGTGTCACCACCAAGTTTTCTGGTCGTGCGCGATATGCAGCTTGTATGGACGCCGCCACGTACGCCGATCTTGTCACCTTTGAACATGACCCTGCATCTAGTTACTTCATACGGCACACAGAGTCCCCCCAGGTAGCAGCTTCCACCCAGGTTGCTGCATCCTACTCTTGTCGCTCCCTCCCCCATCTGGCACTCCAGTGGCACTGATGCTTAGGACATCCTGCTCTCCTGCATCTGCGTCACATGGTGTAAACCATGGTCTATTCACTGGTCTCCCCGCATCGCTCCCTACTCTCCCCGCCTCCCTAGCGCCCGCGTGCACTTTGTGCGACAAGGGCTGGCAGCGCGCTGCCCCTTACTCCTCCTTTCCTCCTACTACTACTCCCCTACAGACTCAGCACATGGAAGTCTGGGGCCCCGCCCCGGTCTAGGGGCCTTGCAAGGAGCGCTTCCTCCTGGTTGTCATCAATGAATTTCATGATTCAACACGCTCTCAATCCCATTTACAGCTTACTGTTTAAGGAACAGATCCATTCGACTTTGCACTCTATTTTAAATTATAGGCACATCTAAGCCTAGTGTGACTACAACACACCCTTTCAGACTCATCGCAGCAGAATGGGGTATCTGAGAATCGCATCAGCTTGGTCATGGAGGTGGCCTGCACCCTCCGTGCTCCACATCGGTGCACGTTTATCTGCCCGGTCAGTAGCATGCAGTAGTCGAACTTTGCTTTCGCCAGTTTCTTCGTCAGGTAGTCTGCAGCGATTTCAGTCGTGGGGCAGTAACTGAGTTGAAGTCTCCACTTTGCGATTTCATCTTTGACGAAGAAATACCGCAGAGCGATGTGCTTGGTTCGGTTGGCGAAGCCGTCCTTGTTCGCGATTTTGATCGCAGATTGGTTGTCGCAGAAGAGTGAGAAGACGGGCAGGGTTGCAATCTTTGCTTCCTCGAGTAACTCTCGTAGGTAAAGTCCTTCCTTGGTCGCAGTGCAGAGGGCGATATATTCTGCTTCAACCGAAGATAGTGCGATTAGTTCATGTTTGCTCGTCTGCCAGGAGATAGTCCCGATAGGTTCTAGTCGGTAGATGTAGCCCGTTCTTGATCGTCAATTTTCCCTGTCTACTGTGTGGTCGGCGTCGACGTATCCGAATAAATGTACGGACGATGTTGTTACTTTACTGTAGGTAAGTCCGGTCGTCGGCGTAGAGACGAAGTAGAGTAGTGCCCGATTTAGTTCTTCGAGATCTTCTTGTTCCGGCTGCTTCAGATGCGTCGCCAGTTGGCTCGCGCTGTAGGATAGGTCAGGTCGGCAGGTTACTACTGCGAATAGTAGGCAGCCGAGCTTCTACTGATACTCCTGGATTTGCTTCACGGGGAGTTTTGCGGAGGTGTCGTTGTTGTTCCCGTAGCGGTAGGGAGTCGTGACTATAGTTGGTGTTAGTCCGAATTTCTTCGCGACAACGCCTGCGTATTTTCCAGCATATAGGTAGAACGCCGAGTTATCTTCGACGACGTTCAGACCTAGGTACTAGGTCACGGTGTTAGACACCGTGAGTGTCAAGTCCCTTTTCAGCTCCCCTTCGAAACAGGTGGCGATGTCAGTAGTGGAGCCGATGTAGAGCAGGTCGTCGACGTAGACGATGACTAAGATAAATTCCCTTTCCTTCTGTAGTCGGT